GGGTGCTGAGCACAGGCCTGGCGACACAGGCTGGGTTTTGTGCTGGAGTTTTCCAGCCCGGGGTGTTAGTGAGAGGCTGTGCTGCTCAAGGGCACAGAGCACCAAATCCTGCAGCTTCCATGAGCCCCCAAGCCCCATGTCTCTGGCAGCTTTACCCCTGGGTCCTGCTCTGTGCCCCTCAGACCTGCACCAGTGGGATCCCCTCCACGGCACCCTCATACCCACAGCCCCCCCTCAGTGGGTGACAGCTGAGCCCCAGTGCTGGTGACACTGATCTGTGGGGTTCCCATTTGGGATGCTCACCCCACTGGTGCTTCCCACTCCCTGTGAGCTCTCATTCCGTACCCCCGGGCCTCACTCTGATTTTAATGAGGAGGCAGCTGAGAATTAAGGTCAAAGCCTTGAGGAAGACCTCACACGGCTGCGTTCCACGGTGGGAGACCTGCGATGTCCTGGAGGAAATCATCCCCCATGCGTTTCACACAGCCTGAATTTGGGGGTTGCCCTCCCATCTCTGCGCTGGCCCAACCCCTCCCCGTGTCCTTTCTTCACACCAACCACCCACGGGCTCTCCTGAGCTTCAGAGAAGCCTTCAGCCCCCCCAAGGTTTGATGAGCGGCCACCATCTGCCCTGGGGGCTCACCGAGCTCTCCCCTCCGCGGGTGGCAAAACCTTTCTCTCTAGGAAGCTTCTCCCTTCACCATCCGCCGGCACTGACGGGCTGCACAGAGCATCACCACCCTCCTGTGCCTGCGCCAGGCACTGCACCGCCCGGCAGCCCCAGGGAACTGCTTACAAACCCATCGGTTCGGGAGTTCTGTATTCTGGTGCCTGGGAGAGTCCCGGGAGGAGCTGGAGCTGGGGAAGCTCCGGGGCTGGGATGCCACACAAGTACCTGTCCCCTGCAAAAAGAGGCCCAGGAACAGGACGTGCCTGTGGCTTTCTGATTGGTTTGTTTGTTTGTTTGTTTGTTTGGATGGTTTTTTACAAAATAAATGTGCCTTTTTCTGTGTGTGAAGCACCAGCGAGCTAAGGCATCCCAGGGGATCCCTGCAGTTACTGGAATCCTGCAAAAACTCCCAACAGGAGTGCTGGGTCACACAGGTCAGGGGCTGTGGGTGCCCTGCCGTGGAACCCATGCAGTGGGATTGAGAATTCCTGAGCCAGCACTTTCCTCCTGGCTCATGTCCCAGGCCTGGGGATGTTCCTGCCCCTGCAGCACCTGCAGCCCCTGCTGGGAACCCAGCCCCCTCCACGGGGCTGCCCCCTCATTTTCAGGCTCCCAGCAAGTTCACAAGCCAGCACCACGGTTGGCTTTTTTCCCCCTCTCCCTCCTGGTTTTCCCAGGTTCCTCCTCAAAGCATTCCTCTGGAAGTCGTGTGGCATCTCTGAGAACCTCCCTCTCCATCACCCCCAGCACAGGACATTTCCAGGGTGGGCACTGAGCTTTTGGTTGGTTTTTTCTGTTTATTTATTTTCTCCCTGCAAACAATTGCAGGAAATCAGGCTGGTTTTAAGTCACAGAGAGCCTCACATTAATTCAACTCTTCCATTTACTCAAGGAGGGCACAGCTCTTCTGCACCTGCCAGCTCCCAGCTTGGGGAATCCCAAGTGGGACAACTCCAAACCAGCAGCTTGAGCTTTGGTGCAGCAACTTTTCCACCTGAGGAGCCTCCATCATCTATAAATCCTCCAAGTATCAACACATGATTTCTGGATGTGGCCCTTGGAGCTCGATTTGGAGAATTTCTTGGCAAGAAATGAGATGTTTGAACTCCAGGCTCCAGATTAGGTGTTGCTGCTCCTGGCTGGTGAGAGCTCTCCTCATCTGGGGCTGCCACAGATCTGCCATGCGGGGACTGAGGGTATCCAGGAGGTGCCTGCGAGATCGGAGCTGCCACGGCGGGGTGCCGAGAGAGCCGAGAGACCCCCCCGGCACGGCGGCACCTCCGATCCCGGCTGACGCTGCTCCGAGCGGCTGGCTGGGGTCTGCAGCCCCGGGCAGCAGCGTGTGGGATGTCCCCACCCGGGGTTCTGTGAGCTGACGCTCATGTGGCAGCCCTTGGGAAAGTCGGGACACGGGGGCTGCAGGCTCTCGGGGTCCCCCAGAGCCGGGCTGTGCATGACGTGCAGCCTCGCAGCTCTCTGCAAGCAGAGCTGTTCAGGAGCAGGGCTGGGCATGGAGATCTGGGGCTGAAAAACAAACCCAGCCAGTCCTGAGGCTCTGCGAGGAAGGGGAAAGTGCTGCTGGAGAGAGCCACAGCGACATCCCCTGCGCAGGCAGGGACACGCCAGGCACGGCCAGGCGGGGCTGGGATACCGCGGGACACCTGGGGCAGGATGCCTTTTTCCATTCCTGCTTAGTCAGATAGATGACTTTTTCTGTGGGGAAACAGCTCAAGAGGGGGAAAACTCGGCAGCAGCGAGGCCCAGTGAAGGGACAGGGGGGTGCTGGTGGCTCTCCTCCAGGTGACCTGGGGTGGCAGAAAAGCCCTGAGGGGTTTGTGCAGGAGTTCTGCAGCTTTCAAACCCAAGAGCTGTGTGCTGACTTGTCACAACACAGAGAGTGCTCCGCTGCACCCCCCTCGCAGTCCTTGGAGGGGAACTGAGGCACAGAAATGCATGAGGCCCCTCTCTCGATGCTAGAACTACTCAGAGGAGGGTCAACTTCTCCCCCCAAAAATCCCAGGCCTCCATCTTCCTTTTCCTCCACCACCTGGAAGGCTGCTGAGTCTCCTTGTAGGGAAAGCCCATTCTGGGAGCTGCCAGCCCAGCGGGCTTGGGGCCAGAGCTATCAGCCCCAGAGGGAAGGCAGGGAGCTGGGGACTGCAGCAGGTGCTGGCAGCTTCATCACAGGGACAGTGCTGCCAGGGGCAGGCAGGCTCCCATCTCCCTCTGAGCTCTCCTGCTTGTTCCATGGGTGCCAAGGGGCTGGCTTGGGCAGCCCTGCTCCTTAGGATGGGGAGAAATATTTTCTGTTGTCAGAAGGATGGCCAGAAGGAAGTGGCTTTTCCCTTTGCAAAGTGTGAAATGTAATTCGCTCCCAGCAGGGTTCAGCTGCAATTTGAGGTGTTTGTCCCCAGCCTGTCCAGGAGGATGCTGTGCCATCACCCCTGAGGCTCAGGGGAGGGGCAGGTTCTGCACAGAACTGCTTGTGGGAAGGTGTTGGGGCTCTGCACAAGCCACTCTGGGGGCCTTGGGGATGGGAACTGTGATGAGGACATCACAGCAGAGTCACACAGCAGGGACATGGATGGGGCAGCGTGGAGGGTGCTGAATGTTTGCATCTTTTCTACTGCATCACTCCTGGTGCTAGGGACTGGCACAGGTGCCAGCACGGCCCTCCTTGCCCTGGCACAGTCACGTCCTCCCTCCATCCAGCCTCGTGGTGTCACCATCCAGCGGTGCCCTGGAAACCCCCCAAACCCACCCTGGAAAAAGTCCTGTTGGGGGGCACAGGGCCACACCACAGCCAAGCAGGGATGAGCCCTGCAGAGCCCTGGCACTGGGGTCTCAGGGCTGGGCAGGGCGGACAGAACCTGGCAGGGGCTGTGGGGTCCTGGGTGCCCATGGGGGCAGGCAGAGCCTGGCAGGGGGGTCTGGGAACTGCCAGAGAGTGCAGAGCTGGTGTGCCCTGTCCGGTGCTCAGGACATGTGCATGGTGCTTGTGCTCTCTGCCCAGTGCCTGGTGCTCGGGTTTTGCTGGTGCCCACAGACCTGTGGAGTGCAGTGCCCCCCTCCCAGTCCCTGCCTGCTGCCCAGAACCAGTGTGGTGCCAGTGCTGGTGCCAGTGTGCAGAGCTCAGTGCCCGGTGCGTGGCACACAGTGTCTGTGGGTGGCACTGGTGGCTGTACTGGTGTCAGTGCCCGGTCCTGGTGGTGGTGACAGCGCATAGTGGCACTGCCTGCTGTGTGGTGCTCTCTGTCCACTGTGTGGTGCTGGTGCCAGTGCCCATGCTGGTGCTGGTACCCACTCCTGGTGCCCAGTTCCTGGTACCAGTGGCTGGTGCTGGTTTGGTGCCTCGGTACTGATGGCCTTGCCTGGTGCCCAATGCCCCTGTCTAGTGCCAAGTGTCCCTGTCCAGTTGTGGTCCCAGTGGCCCCTGAGCAGTGTCCATGTCCACTGCCAAGCTCCCAGTGCCAAGTGCCCATTGTCCAGTGCCCAGTTCCTTGTGGCCCCTGCCTTGTGCCAGTGTGCGGTGGGCTGGGCTGGGGGGTGGTGTTGGGGCTGGGCAGTGGGCGGGCTCTGGCTGTGGGGTGTTCCTGCCCCGCTGTCTCGCGGCCGGTCCGTCTGTCTGTCTGCGGGGCCGGTCCGTCTGTCTGTCGGTCTCTCGGGGCGGCGCCGCTCGGGGCGGTCCGTGCAGGAGGAAGCGCAGCCGGGGCAGAGCGGCCCCGCGGCGGCCGGAGCCGCGCGCTCGGTGAGTACCGGGGGATCGCTGCCCCCACCGTGCCCGCGTCCTGCCTGCTCCCCCCTGCGCCCCTTCCCCTGCCTGCCCTCCTTCTTCCTCTGCGCCCCCCGCCCCGATTCCCCATCTCCCACCGCCTGTCCTGTCCCCAATCCCTATCCCCACTGCCTGTGTCCTGTCCCATCTCCCCTCCGCCTTTCCACTCCCCCGCAGCCCCTTTCCTCCCGTTCCTCTCCCCACTTCTTTCCCTCCTGCTCTGTGTCCCCTAGAGATCCCTATCCCATCCCACTGCCCTACTTGCACTCTTTGCCCCACTCAGCATCCCCTGCTGCCCCCCAGTGCCCCGCTCACCCCCTGCACCCCCGCTCCTGCTCCCCTCCTGGCTCTGGTGGGTCCATGTGTCCCTTGTGGAGGTCCCTTGTGGCTGGCAGGGAGTGGAGAGCACAGCTCTGCACCCGCCACCCAAACCAGAGGGGTCTGCCAGGGGTCCCTCTGCTGCTGCAAGAGCACCCCTGACAGCCGGGGTGATGGGGGCTCTGTCCTGCAGGGGTGGGCAGTGCCAGACAGGCCTCGTGTCTGACAAGGGGCAGGGAGATGGATGGGGGAGTCACCGTGGAGAATCCCTATGCCAGCGTCAACATCCCACGGGAGCAGTTCCAGCAGAGCTTCATCACTCGCTACCTGAGAGACGAGCCCACCATCATCGCCAACCCCGCGGCTGTGCCCTCCTACGGCACCGAGGGGCACACAGAGCTTGCCAACGGCTGGAACAGCCCAACCATCTCCACAGACAAGTCCTGGTCCCGTCCCTACAACCCCTACGCCAGCCTGAGGGCGCCCAATGGGGACTCATCTGCCTCCTTCTACACTGTGACCCTGAACAAGCCACCCAAGGGCCAGGAGCAGGAGGCTGGCAGGAGATGTGGCTGCTGCAGGTGCTGCTCCTGCTGCCCAAAGTGCTGCTGTGTCATCTCCTAAGGGCTCTCCCTGCACACACGGGACGTGTGACCATGGGATGGGGCCAGGTGACCCCACAGGGACATGACTGCTGGCCTGGGCGCCCCTGGCAGAGCTGGCACTGGCAGGACTGACGTTGCTTTTTACCTGTGAACTCTGCAGCCAGATGTGCTGATGATGTGCACCTTCCAGATGGGCCATGGGGCCCAGGAGCCCTGAGGATGATGTGTGCCAGGACAGCTGTCACAGAAAATGACAACACTGGAGACGGGGCAGCACTGAGCCTGGGATCCCACACAGAGCCCCTGTCTGCACCCCTGTGCTGGGAACCTCTGCTCTGGGAAGGGGTGGGCAGTGCCCACCTGGCTGGGTTTGGATGGTGGCAGCCCTGTGTGCGTGACAGAGGAAGACATCATCGTCACTGTCTTGGAGCAGGGGAGAGGAGCCAGGGACAAGCCTCCAGCTGGCACAGGGACCCACCTGCCCAGAAGTGAGTCCTCCCCCCTCCCACAGCATCACAGGAGTGCTGCCGGCCCCTGCACGAAACTCCATCTGGATGCTGACCCTCCTCACCACACTGCTCATGGGGCAGAGTGATGGAAACAGGAAAGACAGACAGCCAAAGCATGGCAGAGTGCTGGGCCAGGCTCCAGGGCAGCACCTGCTGGCACAGCATGGATGTGAGCATTAATGCACCAGTGCCAGGAAACCCCCAGCCCCATTCTGTTTCTCCTGCCATGCTTGTGGGGTGCTGGGCACAACCTCTTGTCCCATCTGCATCCCAGAGACAGGTCCAGCACAGAGGGCTGGCCCAGCTCCAGCAGTGGGGCAGCACTTGGGTACCTTGCTGGGGATGCAGAGGCCCAGCATTGGCCTTTTGCAGCTCCCAGGGCTTGGAGGAAGGTGGGAGGAGCCGCCTGGCTCTTCCCCGTGTGCTGTGGCTCCTCCAGGCTGGGTTTTTGGCTGGGGCTGCTGCCATCGACCTGGAACAAGCCTGCTGTTGTGCTGATGTCCCGCCGTGTGCTGACGTGCCTCCCTGGTGCTGGCAGCCCTCCCTGGTGCTGGTGTCCCAGGACAGCTGCTCTGCTCCCTGGCTGCTGCAGGACTGTCTGCTCTGCAGGACTGGGGCTTGAGAGAAGTGCCTGTGTTTGCAGATGACTTCAGGGTGCTGCAAATAAAATTACTGCCCTCTCCTGCCCTGCCAAGGTGTGACTCTTCCCTCCACCCAGGTTTTTCTGGGATTCCCGTGTCACTTCTTGCTTTCCCTGATGGGTGTGTAAGGGCAGTGCTAAAGCCTCCAAACCAGGCTTAACTGTTGCCCTGCTGACTTGTGGCAGCAGCAGCTCATGCTGAGCTCTTTGGCTGTTGCCTGGTGCCCCACTACCAACCCAGGTCCAGCAGTGCCAACCTGGGTCCAGCAGTGCCCAGGCGTTCCCAGTACAGGCTGCTCCTGCCTGTCTGGGATGCTGGCTGGTGCTCAGCCCAGCCCTGCCAAGCTGGATGACTGTCCTGTCTGGAAAGACTTCGTAAGTCTTTGGGAGAGGCTGAGGAAGGGCCTGGCAAAGGGGAGTTCCTGACTGGGCAGCTGGGTGGGCTCTGGGACACTGCCCGGGCTGGCTGGGACCCCCTGGGAGTCCCTCAGCAGTGGGAGCCCACCGTGGCTTGCAATCCCCCACTGCTTGGAGCCCAGCTGCACTGTGGCCCACGAGCACCGGGTGCCAGCAGTGCTCGGGTGCCACCACACAGATGCCACGGGAAGCCCACCCCTGCTGGGAGCCCACCCCAGGAGCCTGCCACGGCCTGGGAGCCCATCCCCCTTGCAATCCCCCCCCCCCCCCCCCCCACCCGGGATATTCTGGGCTGGGGTGGCGGTGGCCTGGCAGAGCTTTGCCCCCCCCCTGCCTGGCGCAGCTCCCAGGGCGGTGGGAGCCGGGGCTGTGCGGCTGCCAGGGACACAGCCGCTCCGTGCCCGCCCTGCACAAGGAGCTCCCTTGTTCTCCTGCGCAGACCGCAGTGGGGACGGGCAGATCCACCCCTTGTTTGCTTTCGTGTCGCCAGCCCTGCCCCGTGCGTGTGGCGGGCAGGAACACGTCACAGCAGGAGCAGGGGCTGCCCGGGCTCTGCGGGACACGCACGGGGACAAAAAAGTGTCCCCAAGGTGTGCGGTGCCTCGGCACAGCCCAGGGCCACAGCGGAACGAGCGGGCCGGGGGCTCGGGGGCAGGGCAGGGCAGGGTGCCACATGTGTGTGTGTCACCGCTGCCCTTCGCTCTGCCCAGCCCCGGGGCGATGGCAAAGGCGGCGGGAGCGGCCGGCAGCGCCTGCCAGACAGGCGGGCAATGATTAAACCGGAGCAGCAGGAGGGGGGCGAGCAGGGGAGGGTGCAGGCCCCAGACCCGGCAGGGCTCTGATGAGCCGGGATCTGCCCCGCGGGCGCTCCCCGGCTGTGTCCGCCTTCCCGAGGCGCCCGGGGTGCCCAGGGTTCTGCTGGGTGACTGCCACCTCCTGCCTCTGGGGCGCGGGTGGCGTGCAGGGCTCTGGCTCATCCCCACCAGACCTTTGCTCTCCCTGAGGCTGCCGCTCCCTGTCGCGGTGCCGAAGGTCCCTGCAGCCCGCGGATGATCCTGGGAACAGGGAAACACGTTTCCCATCCATGTGTGTCGCTGCTGATTGCAGATCTGCCTTCCCTGAGGGGAGACCTTATTGCTCCACACAGCTCCCTGGAAGGAGCTGTCGTGAGGTGAAGGTTGGTCTCTTTTCCCGAACAGAAAGTGACAGGACAAGAGGAAATGGCCTCAGGTTTTGCCAGGGGATAGGTTGGATATTAGGAAAAAAAGTTTCACTGAAAGAGCTGTAAAGCCCTGGCACAGGCTGCCCAGGGCCGTGGTGGAGTCACCATCCCTGGAAGTGTTCAAAAAACGTGTGGATGTGGCACTTGGGGACATAGGTTAGTGGTGAACGTGGTGCTGCTGGGTTAACATTTGACTTGATGACTTAAAATGTATTTTCCAACCTTAATGATTCTGTGACTCCCTGTTCCTGGATTCAGGTGGGCTTTTGGCGGGGCTGGTGCTGCCCTTGGGGTCAGCATGGCAGGTGCACAGCCCCTGTCACCAAGGCCTCCCCTGCCCCAAACCCTGCCTGTGCTGAGCTGGGGTGCCCAGCAATGGGCAGAAGTGGCCAAGGGCAGCTGGGCACAGCCCCTCAATGGGACACAGCTCTGCTGGCATCAGGGAGGGACATGAGGGCTGAAGAGCAGGGGCTGGGAGGGGCTGGAGTGGGGCAGGATGCGTGTGTGTGTGCATGTGTGTGTGGAGCAGCAGAGGCAGCCCGAGGGGTCACTGCCTCTGAGCAGTGCCAGGGGCACCCCCGGCTGTGCACAGAGCTAAGCCCACCCCTCTCACCCATAGAAGTTTTTTGGCAGAGCTCGCTATGGGACTGCAGCATTCCTGTCCCTGTGGCAGGTGAGCCAGGCCAGCGCTGTGTGTTGGGTGGAAGAAGGACAGCTTGGGACAGCCCCAGCCCTGGCATGGCCCTGGAGGGAGCACGCTGAGCCCACCAGGAGCCAGCTCTGCCCTGGCTGCCTGCAAAACCCTGCCACGGGGTGCCACCCCTGCCTGGGCACCCATGGCACACACAGCCCCCGTGCACTGCCTCGGGAAGCCTGTGGCAGGCTGGGTCAGCGTCCTGGGGCGGGATATGTGCCCCAGAGGTGCTGTGCTGCTGGAGCTGCTTCCTCTCTCGCAGGCACCAGTGTCAGGGGCTGAGCCTTTCTGCAGAGCTCAGTGACCCCGTGGGGATCTTCATTTCCAAAACGCCCAATTCTTTCTCTGAGGAGCGCTGGGAACATGGTCCGCTGGTGAGGCGGCATCACGGCAGCGCTGCCTGTCTCCCGGCCCGCTCCTGCCGGCAGTGGGAGCTGCTGCCCGCGGGAATGCTGCCCGCTGTCCCGGCCCGCCTGCCCTGCCTCCAGGATGGGCTTTTGTCCTCCAGGATCCTGGGCTCAGGATCTGTCCCCCTACCACTCTCCCCTCTTCAGTCTGCAGCCCCCTCCATGCCAAGGCTGGGACTTGGCTGCCGGACCCCGGGCAGCTGTGGGGACACTGCCCTGGCATTGTCACCTCCCCTGGGTCCTGCACCTTGCAGGTGTCCCTGTGGGGTGCTGGGGTGTCCCCAGCCTGATGCTGAGCATTGGTAACTCAGCCCCCAGAGCCTGCAGCCCCACAGGGAAGGGCAGGGCAGGTCACAATCACCCCCAGGCTCCAGGTGGGAGCACACCCCATGTGTGGGCACTGCCGGCCCCAACAGGGACAGAGTCCCGCTGTCCCTGCAGCAGTCCCAGCCGTGCCACCCCACCGTGCCCCCGGCTCTTGTCACAGCTGTCCCCACAGCCCAGACCACCTGGGGTTGCTGCAGTTCGAGGGGGGCTCTGCTGGCCGATGTCTGCCCGGGTGTTCTTGGCTCTGAAGTGTGGCCCAGGACATGGAAGACTCTGTTGCTGCTGCCCAGGTCCGGACAAGATCCAAGTTCTCCGGCCAGGATGGAGCCCAGGGCTCCTTGGTTTCCCAGGGACGGCTCCTTCTGTCAGTGAAGCACAGGCTTATGGTTAATGACCCTTGCTGGGTTTAGATTTCAGAGGTCTTTGTTACCCAGGTGCTTGTAACCCAATCTCCCGGGCTTGGCTTCCCTGCAGCAGATCCAATAGCGCCTGTCCCTGAAAGGTGAGCCCCTGCCCACTACCACGGCCACTGGCAGCCACAGGGAGCTGGCTGGCAGCTCAGGCCTCCGATGCTCCCCACAGGACTGCCACAGCGCCCTGGACAGCACAGCCCTTCTGCCACCAACCCTGAGGCCCTGGGAAGCATCTCAGGACAGGTAGGAATGGGGGAATGGGGAGGAGGGGAGAGAGGGGTACCCGTGTGCACCAAAACACTTGAGGTCACTTCAGGAGAAGGAACAGAGTCTTGGTGGCCTCCAGAAGTTTGCAAATATACTGGTGTGTACCAGACCCCACCTGAGATG